AAAAATAAAACCAACATATTCAGTTTTCAGTAGACTGTGGAATTTTAAATTTCTAATTTGCATCTCTAACTTTAAAATAAATAACAAGTAAATCTGATGTTTATTCAATTTATTGTGTTAAAAACTTTATTCTATTATTAATATTCAGAACATTATAAGGCAATGCTTTGTATACCTTTACACTAACAAATTGGAGAATCTGGAAGAAATGTATGAACTAGCAAATATGGATATGCCCAAACTAAACTAAGAAGATTTAAATCAACAAAATAGATCCATAAAAAATAATGAAATAGAAATGGCAATAAAAGACCTCTCATCCAAGAAAATCTCAAGACCAGAAGGATTCACAGCCAAATTCTGTAAGGCCTTCAAAGGAGAACACACTCCAATACTCCTCCAACACTTCAATGAAATTCAAAGTGAAAGATCACTACCAAACTCATTCTATGAAGCCAACATAACCCTCATCCCAAAACCAGATAGGGACTCATCAAAGAAAGAGAACTAGACGCCCTTTGATGAACATTGATATAAAACTTTTCAATAAAATCAGAAAAACCACATATTATGATCAAAAGGATGCAAAATTGGTTCAATATATGCTATCCAATTAATGTAATTCAACATATCAATAGCAGCAAGGACAAGAACCACATGATCATCTCAATAGATGCAGAAAAAATATTTGGCAAGATCCAACAACACTTTATGATAAAAACTTTGGAGAAGCTAGGAATCCGTGAAACATTCCCCAATATAATAAAGGCTGTATATGAAAAACCTACAACAAGTATTATACTTAATGGTGAAAAAGGAAAACCATTTCCTCTAAAATCAAGAATGAGACAAGAATGACTGCTCTCTCCACTTCTCTTCAATATAGTATTGGAATTCCTAGCTAGAGCAATAAGACAAAAGACAAACATAAAGGGGATCCAAACAGGGAAAGAAGTAAAACTCTTGCTCTTTGCAAATGGTATTATCATATATATATATATATATATATATATACATATATATATATATATATATATATAACCATTTATTCCTCTCCTAAGTTATTGAGCTAATCAAAAACTGGCAAACTAGCAGGGTGTAAAATTAATCCACAGAAATCATATCTAAGATATGGAACCAACCCAGATGTCCCTCAGTAGATGAATGGATCAAGAAAATGTGGTATATATACACAATGGAATTCTTTGCCTCCATTAGAAAGAATGACATTGTCTCATTTGTTAGGAATGGAAAGACTTGGAAAAAATTTTATCAAGTGAAGTAAGCCAGGCCCAAAGAAACATAGGTCCCATGATTTCCCTTATTTGCAATAACTAGTATATGTCTGAGACAAGCAGAAATGGTCAGATAAGTTGATGTTAGGCGAAATGAACCCCAAGATAAGGACTCAAATGGTTTTTCTTTCTTGCTATTGTTTCTAACACATTTATAAGATACTTCATTGTTGCTTTCTATGTCCCTCGGTATAACACCTGTTTTCACTGTATTTGATGTTGGTATAATTTGGGGAGGGTTAGGGAAAAATCCAATTGTTTAAATAGGGATACAAGTGGACCCATTGCAACGATGAGATGTACAAGACATTATGTCGAAAAATGAAGTTTACAACTTTGGCGAGGGGAGGGGGAGATGGGAGGGCAGGGATGGGAAGGGGAAACAAAGGAGGAAGCAAAAATGCTTGTTAAGAAATGTACTCATTACCTTGCCATGTAACTGTAACTCCTCTATACGGTATTTTCACAATAAAAAAATCAATAGCTTTTCTGTATGCCAACAATGAGAAGAGCGAGGCTGAAATCAGTAAAGCAAATTCTTTTGTAGGAGCCTCAACACCCCTCCCCGCAAAAAAACCCCAGGAATTAACTTGACCAAAGATATGAAGGACATCTACAATGAAAACTTTAAAAACCAGAAAAAGGAAATAAGGGCAGGGAATGTGGCTTAGTGGTAGAGTGCTTGCCTAGCACGCCTGAGACCCTGGGTTCAATTCTTCAGTACCACATAAACAGAAAATGCCAGAAGTGGCATGGTTCAAGTGGTAGAGAGCTAGCCTCGAGCACAGAGAGGCTCAGGGACAGTGTGCAGGACCAACAAAGAAAAAAAAAAGAAAAAAGAAATTAAAGTAGATTTGAGGAAGTGGAAAAACCTCCCATGCTCCTGGATTGGGAGAATTAACATTGTGAAAATGGCAATACTGCCCAAAGCTATTTACAGATTCAATGCAATACCCATCAAAATCCGAACAACATTCTTAAATGATCCAAAAATTCAAATTCAAAAGGCAATCCAAAAATTCATATGGGATAATAGAAGACCCTGAATAGTAAAAACAATCTTTCACAGGAAAAACAGTGATGGAAGAATATCAATACCAAACTTCAAACTCTATTATAAAGCTGTAGTTATAAAAACAGTTTGGTACTGGCACATGAACAGGTCTGAGGACAAATGGTATAGAATTGAAGACCCAGAAATTAATTCACAGATCTATGTCTGCCTAATCTTTGATAAGGGAGGCAAAAACACAGCATGGAAGAAAGACAGCCTCTTCAACAAATGATGGAGGCAGAATTGGCTAGACACATGTAGAAAACTGAAATTAGCTCTTAACATATCACTCTGTACCAAAATCAATTCCAAATGGATCAGAGAACTCAATATAAAATCAGACATCCTAAAAATATTACAGGAAGGAATAGGGGAAACACTAGGGCTCCTTGGCACAGGTTAAAACTTCTTAAGTAAAGATCCAGAAACACAACAAATCTAAAAAATTTGATACATGGGATTGCATTAAATTGAAGAATTTCTGCATGGCAAAGGACATAGCAAGCAAGATAAATAGAAAGCCAACAGATAGGGAGAAGATCTTTACTAGCTATATGACAGCCAAGGCCTCATACCTAAATTATACGTAGAGCTCAAAAAAATTAAACCTCCTCCCCAACAAAACCTCAAAAAAAAAAACAACAACAACAATCCTATGCATAAGTGGGCTAAAGACTTAAAGTGAGACTTCTCTAAGAAATAAATAAGAATGGCCAATAGACACATGAAGAAATCTTCAACATCACTGGCCATTAAAAAAATGTAAAATAAAACAACATTGAGATTCCACCTCATCCCCGTTAGAATGGCCATTATCAAAAAAGCTAATGATACTGGGGTGGGGGCGGGAAGATATGAAGGGATGGGAAGGGGAAACAAAGGAGGAGGCTACAATGCTTGATAAGAAATGTGCTCATTATCTTACCCATGTAATTGTAACCCCTCTGTACAGTATTTTCACAATAAAAAAAAAGCTAATGATAACAATGCTGGTGGGGATGTGGTCAAAAGGGAACGCTATTACACTGCTGGTGGGAATGTGAACTTGTTCAACACTCTGGAAAGCAGTACGGAAGTTCCTTAAAAGAGTAAACATAGACCTTCCCTATGACCTAGCAATCCTATTACTAGGCATTTACCTAAATGACCACAAATAAGGCCACAGTACAGCTACTATCACAACCATGTTCACTGCAGCATTATTTCTCATAGCTAAGATTTGGAACCAACCCACATGCCCCTCAGTAGATGAATGGATCAAGAAAATGTGGTATATATACACAATGGAATTTTACACTACCATCAGAAAGAACGACATTGCTCTATTTGGAAGGAAATGGAAAGACCCGGAAAAAATTGTATTAAGTGAGCCAGATCCAAAGAAACATAGACTGCATTGTTTCTCTCATTTGTAATAACTAGAATATGTCTAGGGTATTCTTAGCAGAGGGTCAAAATGGCTTACTAGGTAGGTGCATATGACCATATAAAATGATGCTTATTGAAATTAAATCCAAGAAATGGAAATGAGGTTTTCTGTTGTACTGTTTCAGTTATTTCTTCTTTCTTTATTTCCCTTTGGTTTATTCCTTGTTGCCATTGTTTTTGATTTCTGTACCCTCAACTCATATATAAGTTTATCTGATTTGGGGAAGGGAAGGTGAATCACAGAAATAGTGAGACAAAGAGTGAACCAATTCAACACACTAGACACTGCATTGGAAATGAACTTTACAAATTGTGTGTGGTGGGAAAAGATTCCAGGAGGAAAGTGGGAGAAAATGTTTAAAACCTTACTTATAACAAGACCACACTAAAGCTACCAGCACAACTATGTTTATTGCAGCATTATTTACTATAGCTAAGATATGGAACCAACCCAGATGCCCCTCAGTAGATGAATGGATCAAGAAAATGTGTATATATACATAATGGAATTCTATGCCTCCATCAGAAAGAATGACTGCCCCATTTGTTAGGAAATGGAAAGACTTGGAAAAAATTATATTAAGTGAAGTAAGCCAAGCCCAAAGAAACATAGGTCCCATGGTTTCCCTTATTTGCAATATCTAGTATATGTATGAGTCAAGCGGAAAAGGTCAGATAAGGTGATGTTAGGAAAATGAACCCTAAGATATGTATTTAAATGTTTTTTTTCTTTCATGCATTTGTTTCTAATGCATTTATAAGATTATTTCTTAGTTGCTTTGTATGTCCCTCCCCCACAGTATAACCCCTGCTTTCACTGTATTTGATGTCGGTATAATTTGTGGAGGGGAAGGGGAAAAACAAGTCGTTTAAATAAGGATACAGGTGGGCCCGTTGCAACAATGAGAAGTACACGTTGTCATGTCGAAAACAAACTTTACAACTTTGGTGGGGGGGAGGAGAATTGGGTGGGGGGACGGGGGGGGGAGGCTGGGAAGGGATGGGAAGGGGAAACAAAGGAGGAGGCTACAATGCTTGATAAGAAATGTACTCATTATCTTGCCCATGTAGTTGTAACCCCTCTGTACAGTATTTTCACAATAAAAAGTAAATAAATAAAAAAACCTTACTTATGTAACTGTTACATCACCTTTGTTGTAAAATTTAAATTAAAAAATAGCTACACTACTAAAGACAAATTATAATTCAAGGAAGATACTCACAATTCGAACGAGCCAGGATAAGGTTGATGTTGATGTTGAATAATGTGTATTGTAATGGTAGGGTGGGCTTTGATCATCTTCCCACGTTTCATAACGTTCTGCATAAAACACTGCTCTTTTGGGGTTCAAAGCACCAATTGGCTATAAAAAGATAAAAGGAATCATTTTATTTAATATGCTCAGGTTACATATTCGAAGACTGTCATTTTCCTGAAAGTGACTACTAATTCATTTTCACAATAGAGAGTACATTTTTATATTATATTTTTATGAACTGGAGTTTTATATTGATTACTAATCATTATGCTTGCTAAAACAAAATTACCCAAGAGGACTATTTACATGTGTAAAGTTTATAGACTTATACTAAGAATTTTAGTAAATTAGATTATAAAAGTTGAGTCAGTTAAGGTCAAGTAAATATTATGATATTTTCCTGCCTACTTACTTCACATAATGAAGATTTAGCCTTGTGTACAAGAAACTCCAGAAGAACAAGGGAAAGCAGTGACCACAACATTGGAGACAACCATATTATAGAAAATGGCCTTCCCAATACATTGCCAGGAGAAAAAACAATACATCTCTATATAGAGCACTATTGGAATGTCAAACCCATTCTGTTATTTTGCAGACACAACTGCTATCCATTTTATTACTTAAAGTACAAAGGAAAGAGAGAAGAACTAATCAAGAAAATTCACATTCCCTGTTAAGTGATTTGCTATGGCACTAAGCCTTCTCCTCTCAGGACCATTCTTTTACCCATTATGATATAATACTGCCAGTGAAGTAGCTGACTATATTATCTCCCTTCAATAAAGCATGTGTTAATTATCAAATCACTGTCTCAAACTTCTTAAGACAGCCAATTATTGAGAAGTTCTTTGCAATATTCTCATATTACAAATAGAAAATACCCTTAACCTTAGTTTAAGTTTTTGTTTGATTTTGACTTTTGTATATGGAGTCCACTCTCATGAAACAGCTATAACTATTTTGCTTTAAATTGCAAACAGTAAAAAATAAGTGTTTATAGGAAATACAAAAGGTAAGTATTAAGTGCTATATCTTACTACTTCATTTCAAAATTTAATATTAATAGTTAACAATGAAGTTCCCCCAAGGCTTCATTTTAACAAGAGAAGTAGTAGAAAATTAGTGTTTCCATGGGACATATAATGTTACACAAGAGATAAAGATCCATTTATAAATTGCTATGTGCCTTTTCTTTTGGTCCCAAGAGACTAATTCAAATAATACAATGATATCAGTGGTTGAAAGTCTATTAGAATCTCCATAATAAACTCTTATTTGCAAAGGTGCTTAGCCTGAATATTAAAATTCTTTGCAAATTATGCTCATTTTTGAATGCTCATTAATTGTATCCTAACATAATTTAAAAAATTACTTACTTATTTTTAAAGGCTTCATTCTAGTGTATAAGAACATTAATATTATAAAAATTTAAAAATACTTTGTCTTCATTTTTATAAAACGAAGTATAAAAGTATAAAGCTTTAGCTTAAATATATTTTTTCAATACCCAAAGGCTTAAGTGTTATTCTATGCTATATTACACTAGTTACCTACAAAGTCTTTTTACTTAGATGTAATAAAAGAAAAGCATTTTTGTCAAACATTACATAAGATCTTAATATTATTTAAACAAACAATTCATTTTAGTAAAAGGGTAATTACTATTATATAGAGTGGATGGAGAGTCTATTACTGAATTGAAATGAATTTTTCATTTAAAATTGCCAACGTATTTTATACTTTTCTAGATGTGCAGATTTAGCTAATTCAATAAGTATATTTTTCAAACCATTTACAATGTTATACCACTTTGTCTTGAATATGCTAATAGATGTTTCATTTGTATAAAATGTCTGCCCAATCCCTGGGAATTGCTCTTATCTGATATTGTTTGTTATCTAAGCCCTCACAAAACATTCTTGAAAAGGGGAACAGAGTCTCTCCTCTAATCTTTTCCAGCCTTTTCCTCAACTACTGGAAAAGCGATAAAATAAACATTTACATTTTCCATCTTACTCAAGTTTCATTAAAGTCACTTTAATAGTGTCTTACAGAATAACGCTTTGTAGGAATCAGCTGCACAGTATTAAAGTCTGAGCATGGCTCCATTAGAAACTCCTTAAGACTTAGAGCTAATTTTGTGGTTTTTGTCTAATGCAGGTACAAATGAATTTTATAAAATAAAAATAATTTCACCTATGCTTGGTATTTGTCTATCATTTTAACTTCTACTAGCTAAGAAATAATAAATCATTTGAAGACAAAAGCTTCAAAATATTTAGGAAATAAGACTACACTGTATATGAGATCCAAATACATATCATATCATACCACAATTATCTACCCATCAATTATCTACCTACCTACCTATTGATATAGCTGCAAGTTTGCCATCCTTTAAAAATTTGTACAAACAGTGCAATGTCAATACCTTTTGAATTCGGCAGATGAATAAGATAAGAACTCTTGGTGAAAAAGCAAGGCCATAATTAATAGAATGGATATATTTAAACTGCTGTCTCAACTTTTATCATAGTTCCCACTGGGCATATAAAGTCACCATGTGCTTTTTAATACTTGCCCTATAAAAAAAGTTTCTCTGAAAGTTTAAAACAATGTTAAATCAATTACTGCTTTGTTCTTGTGAGGCTTTATTTTACAAGGGAACACTATAACAAATAATAGAAAATCACAAAAGCAAATCATGCTAAAATAAAAGATATAATTTCTATACCTGTAAAACAGTAATTTTGCTTTGTAAATCTGCTATGAAGCCTACATAGTTTGCATAAATACTATTTTCTTTTCTTTCTTTTTTCTTCTTTCTTTGTTTTCCTGAAAACACTTTGGGAATGTATTACAATGGAGTAAAACTCCTGGAAGATTCTTATATAGATTTGGAAGATTCTTATATAGATTTGCATTACTAAGTGCTCTGACAAATGTTATCATTAATAGACTTGTTTATCTTCTGTGTATTTTATTCATTCATTCATTTGCTTATTTTTACACGAACCATATTCATTTTGTTTTCATTACAACAATGCACAAGACCAAGAGATCTTTGATTGCACTATTTGGTCATTCTGTTTAATTGATCTTCTCTGGAGAGAGGATATTGCTATGTAGCCAAGGATGGCTTTGGCAGAGAACTTGCAATCCTCCTGCTTTTGCTTCCTGAGGGCAGAGAACTGTATCACCACACCCAGTGTCTTAGATTTGTGCTTCAATGAAATTTGGTGAAATTCATTTTGGTATGCAAGTGATAACATTTTTTTTCTCTGTCTTGTTTTCCGTATCCCTTTAGCCCTGATTAGTATCTTTTTCATCTTACAAAGCCTTCTACATTATGTCAAATTCTTTTTCAGAATAAGTACATACAAATTAAAGTAGGAAAATGACAAAAAATTATATAAATAAAATATTTATTGAATTAATGGAATTGTGTCCGACATTAGAAGGACTTCTAGAGAAAAATCTAAGCACAGACTTAAATTGATCTGAATAAATAAAAAAGTAAGTGTTAATAGACTGAAGAACAATCAATTTCATCATTAAGAACCTTTTATACTCTTTTGCACAACTATGTAAATATAGTTAAACAACTGAAGTTTAAAAAGGAAAAAATCATCTATTCAATAAAACATAGGAAGAAAAACAAAAAAAGTTTTTCAAAAAGAAATAAAAGATCCAATTAAAGTAATCTCAACAATGAGCTTTGATATATATCATAAAAGCCTTAAAATGTTAGTGTTGAAGCACTCATTAATAGGTTTCTACTTGCATGGAAAAGTTTACTACTTGCTGCTATGAATGCTAGCGGTATTATATATTTGTATAAGCTGTTGACTTCATGTATAATTGTTTAAGGCCAGCAAAATATTCCTTATGAACCTTGTTTATCATGAGGAAACATATCTGAACCATATCTGACCCATGCCACTGGACTGCATTTTCATTAGTATCTAAATATGGCCTTTCCTGTGATTTATGTTAACTGCTTTCATACTTCTCTGTCCACCAGAAAGCCTTACAAATGGAGATTACTAATAGAACTACTAGTCCCATGTTCCTGTGTAACAAATGAGAACACTGAAACAGTCAAATCCCTATCACACTGCTAGCTAGTTGGTGGTTACCCATGTTACAGCAACAGTTACGACTTTGTTCCAGAAAGCAAGCTGGAAGCTCAGTGAGTTATCAGTTTGGTTTCGTAGATGTTTTAATTGTCTCAGTATTATTTTTTTTCTTTTTTGGTCAGTCATGGGGCTTGAACTCTGGGCTTGGGCGCTGTCTCTGAGCTCTTCAGCTCAAGGTGAGCGCTCTACAGCTTGAGCCACACTGTCACTTTGGTTTTCTAGTGGTTTATTGGATATAAAAGTCTCACGGACTTTCCTTTCTGGGCTGGCTTTGAACTGTGATCCTCAGATCTCAGCCTCCTGAGTAGCTAGGATTAAAGGCGTGAGCCACCAGTGCCCGGCTTCAGTATTCTAAATATAATCAGAGCTTCTGAAATATCCTAAGTTTTATAATAACAATTGAGGACTTGAAAAATCCTTAGGGTAGGCTTCACATATTGTTGTTCTCTTTCTATCTTTTCAGTCATGAACTACATGACATCAGCCTGAAAAACCTCTGTTATGACAATGTAGAAATGATTCATACAGACTGGTGTGCTCAAATTATTTCTTTGCCTCTCTTCTTATCTGACCAGGGAACATCAACTCATTCTTTTGGAAACAATTCAGATTTCATCTGTGAAGCCATCTGGTAATAGTTAGGTAAGTTTATAAGCCCCCCGTCCCCTTCCATGTCTTATTCTGTGTCTCTGTGTCTATCTCCCCAGTAGAGTAGTCTTTAAAGAGAATGTCTTATCTTTTATTCATCTCTGAATTCTCAGCACTCATTGTAGTATTAGACCCTTTACATAAGCAATAAATGGTGAATTGCTTAGAAGGCTGATTAGTCAGATTATATAATATCCTATAAAACTTGGATGTGGGCACTTTAGACAGAATTTTAACCAAAAATCAACATATAAATAACGAATAGAAAAGTGTTTATAGCATATGAAAAAGAACAAGCTTCTTTTAAAACATGAG